TTGCTATCAACTTTCCCGCATTCTCCGATCTTGAACCCTCTAATATTGAGCTTGAAGTCAACGACTCTCAGGGCTTATCGAAAATCCAAAACGACTGTACCAGTTTGATTGCGCTTGAGACCGATTTAGAAAGCATCAATGCTTGGCAAACTACTCTCGATGAACTTGACAATCTCCATATTGTTGCGGAGGCTTTGGCTTTAGTTAATTCTCACTTCAGAGCCATTCCGTCCCTACAAAACATTACTGTCAACTTGTATGAGGAGGGTCCGGGTGATTATATCAGGAGGGAAATGATGAGTCACGGATGGACTATCAACACTACGGAAAACCCACAATCGGATGACGATGCCAACGATGTGTATGAATGGCTTGATCCTCCTCATGATGGTGATGGTTCTGATTATAGCATCGGGGAATATGACATTGATAACGATAGTGATTTTTTGAGAAGAGCGGGTGACTGAGTTAGTCTCTAGCAGGAAGTATTTTATTGCTCATTCTCTATTCAATTCCACTGAGAATAAGCCATAGACAGATGAGGTCTCTTGCACAACAAGTCATTGCAAAAGAGCGCGACATCACGATTTACCATTCCACCCGCATCAGGTCAAAGTATTAGACTGTGTTCCTGTCCCTATTTCATAGCAGCGTCCTTGTTGCAGTAATCTCATCCTCATGAACTTCTTCGTGCTCCCCTTGTCTTTACGTATCTTGCGAAAAGGATTGTCTGCCCTTTCACTACATCACACTTCGCAACATGGCTCCTTTCGACCCTGTTACTTTTGCAAATCGCTGCTTTCTTTCACAGCTATGGTTTCTTTGCTTCATCCGGTCTGTTCAACTTTTTCTGGCTGTCTCGTCGAATGATGGTATGTCTTTTTTAAGAGAAAGTAGGTTTAGGGGTATCCAATAGTAGAGAGAGAAGCTGACACCTTTGATTTTTATCATCTCAATTTCCTGTCAGTGCCATATTGAGGGATTCTGGTTGTATGAGAACAAATCTCAGAAATCTTTGATATTGACAAGGATTTTTCGTTGAGGAAACAGCTTTATTCGTGCTGGTATCAGGGGAAGAACAGACACTTCAAAGTGGGTGGACAACGGTCATAATAGGCAGTAAACATGATTACTCACTTGTTATTACAAAACATCTTATCTATTTCTATTATCATCTACAGATATTATGAATCGCGATACTTCTAGGCTCCCAAATATCTAGATTGAAGATGCTGAGAGCTTTTCATTCCAACACCAAAACTTCACATTCTAGTAGGCACACTGTGCTCTTACAGAATCACTTCTTGAGACCATATTTTAGATGAATATGTAGTCTGTTTTCTTATTTTCTTGTGCATAATTCCTTCTTGTTCATTTAAAACAGGCTTATTATTCATGCAGCTATCCATCCCCTTTCATGAATGTCAACTATCCTGCCTCAACTTTGCTCTCCTCTTTGCTCATTCGGCCATCAATTTCAAGCCTAGTGGCGAAGCTCATGAGGAGCGATGGGAAAAGTATTTTCTCCAGCCGGTTGCGTGGACATGTCATTACAACCTAGCAGGCATTCGAATAACAGCAATAAACGGCAAGATGAAAAGATAAACATCGATCGCTAATCCGACAGCGGTTGAAACGGAAAAGTTAATCGCTTTGAGAGTGCGGGCTGAGACTATATGTGATTGCCTTGTTACGCCATTTAAATGCGTTGCTAGATAAAATTGGACGACCGTAGTAGCGAGACAAAATAAGGAAGAAATCTTAGTACCAATATATACGCAGATTTTTATCCATTTACATTCTACAAATATTTCAAGGTACACAAGGAAGAGAGAGAGAGAGGGCTTTACGAAATCTAGAGCAAAATAGACTATCCAAGTACCTATGTAAAGAGCCTAGTTGATGTGAGAACTGAAGTTAAAGCATCAAGGGTTGCAGGCACGGGGAGAGGAATACATATGATCGAATTCTGCTGACTGGATAGACGCAATAAGGAGACATCCCACGAATGAATACCGACAATCCCATCTCCACTGACGGCTTTTGGAAGTTCAGTTGTGCTTGATGCATGCGTAGTAGTTATAGGCATACATACACATCAGAACATCAACATAGACCACCAAAGCGCTAATTATAAGCTAATGGCAAATCAATACTAGATCCAAATGACTAAATGAATGGTTCATATGAAACCTGTGAGTAACGTGGCTAATATTTAGTTAGTTTGAATGAATCTTTGGAATGAAAACGAGCAGCTAACAATCACACATGTCACTTTTCGCTGAATCGCCAATCTTGTATGATGTCGAATGGCGTAACATATTATTATTAAGCCAGCCAATATAGAACTGACAATGGGAAATACCCACCCTCTACTGGTTGGATTGACCAAGTTTGAGGTGACATCGAGGGGAGCAGCGATAGCTGGGATCTCTGCAAGGATCTCTGGGGGTAAACTTGAGACGAGGAACTGGATTGGAGTAACAACCATCTTTCAAATCAAAATTGTGGACAGCTTTAGTTGAGAAGTAGACAACTCAGTCATTCATTTACAGAATATCATATTAAACCATTTTTAGATAAATCAGTCCAATATGTATATAGGTATGACTTCTCACCAAAATCAAGTTCTTTGAGGAAATCAGACATGGAAAGGTCATTTTGGTTTAGCGGCAGATAGAACCGCAACCGCGTACATCGCCACTATTACGAGTTATAGAAACAACGACTGTCATATGGCAAACATTCTGATTAGTGCCATGGTGATCAAAAGTCGTGGATATGATGCACTCGATGAACTAAGAAAATTGAAACCCAGGAGGGCTTGGGCTTAGCAAATGAGAAGGTTGTACGAAAATATGCCCAGAAATACAAGTGGGGGGTAAAAGGGGCAACAGAGACTGTGATCCGGTTAACACCGCAGCTTAAGTGAATAGTGGTCGCAGTGTATGTCCATCCTATATTTCCACCCAGGGGGAATTTAGATTCCAATCCCAAAATGACCTTCATTGGAGAGAGGCCTTTTCTTGGGCACTTTAAAAATATATACTTAAGAGCCAAGTATTTTTCTCTCTAAAGTCGACTCACTGAGCAGTCAATATTTTATCTCGAATATAGCATCGCGACAATATCAAGCCTCATCCGAAATCAACCCAATCAGCAACATGGTGTCATTCAAAATATTACTGACTAGTGATTTTCTAGACATTCTCTTTCAAGTTTCCATTCAAAGGACTTCCTTTTTGTCTTGAGCTACTTCGACTTCGAGAATATGCTAGCTTCAAATTGCGGAGTGCGAAATTCCGCCAATAATCGAAGAAATAAAGCAAACCCAAAATTCAGATCTTTCAAAGAATACACGAAGAATGATGCATGACTTCGTGAGCGGCTTTGGCTCTCGAAAGGAGAATCAAAATGTGAAGAAAACGACGTCAGCAATGAGAAAGGGGATGATGCCATTCATGATGAAGCATACCGGACACAAAGTAGAGTGTACGTGGAAACATACGAGAAGATCAAGCAAGTGTGCTTTGAGACTCTAGATGATAGCTTAAATGAAGCAATCTTCTTTCACAACCCCAGGTAAGAGAAGTAGCTGAGGGCCAGTTTTCCCGAGGCTTGTCCTAATGGATCTTCGAGCCTTCGAAAGAATGTCTTTCCAGTTCGGTAATTGCTACTATGCCAATCGAGGGAATCAAATTGGTTCTGAGAGAACGGATGTAATTTTCAAGTGATAACTATATCATCTATGAAATTTGAGTATATGTGCATATAAATCTTCATGAAATACTACATAGTTATAAATACATGTGTGTATTCATTTCGATGGTTTGAATAATGCATATTCGTGTTAAGAGTGTTGGTTGAGAGTTACGACGATGTAGTTTTTAGAAATAGGATTCTCAGGAACAATTTAGATATCGAAGATTTTTGCATCTGATAGAACAGGAAATTAAAATCCTCGACCTTAAGATTGGGATGGTAATAATAATTGGAATATCAACGGGTGCTTCAGCACTGGACTGGTCCATCTTTTGCCCCGCATCAAAAAAGCTCGCTCGAGCGTTCGGAAAAGTTGAGAATCTGTGAAAGAATAGGTAGATGAATGAAAAGCAGATTCTTGGAGGGGCAGAAATATCTCAGTAGGATAGCTCGAGGATAGCTATTGTCACTAATAAGATAAATTATTTTTTGAAACAAGATTAAGCGTAGAAAAGTTCTGTCATGTGATTGGATTAGTTTAATTATTTAAATTATGTGGAAGTGATAACATAGTAGGTCATTTGGCCGAGTGGTCTAAGGCGATGGTTTTAAGATACCTTCTATGAGGTTGAAAACACCATTATCGAGAGATGCGAGGGTTCGAACCCCTCAGTGACCAGTTGTTTCTTTTTGAAATCTTGTGCACCACGGGTTCTTTTTTTTCTTCTTTCAGAGGGAGGGGAAGAAAAATTGCTCATGATCTTGTTTTACCACCCACTCACTATCCAAGCCAACATCACTCTAGATATCGGGATTTGCATTACTAACGTGTTTGTTGTCGTCAAAAAAGAAATGGTACATGATGTTGGAACATGATGATATTTTGTGATTTCCCCCTAATTCTCCTATGCGAGTCGGAATGTAAACATGAAGATTTTGGGTCTTTGTTGATACATCCATCCCACGTGTTTTCTCTTTTCCCTTGCACAAGATCTCGTCATATCACCAGCTACCAGTGCCGTGTGCCGTAATAGATCTCACATGAAGCAAACACCACAACACCAGTTTGCTGCTTTCACCAATTGCTTCCTGGATCAAACTTACAATTTGAAATTATGCTCCAACAAACGAGCCGTTCGGGCAATTCCGATACACTTCGGCCCATGCACCAGGTAGGTATGCTTATCGAGTGAGGGGTCATTCGATAAGAGAATCCATTTCCTCAAACTCCACATCTTGCTTTACTATTAAACTTTCAACTCTCTCAATAATAGCAATTCCCTCTTTTCAAAGCAAAAATGTCTCCCTCTCGTACATCGCCGTCTCCTACTGCTTCCAGAGGCCTCACCAAGGAGCAGCTCGACACCTTTAACAAAGATGGATATTTGATAATCCCAGGAGCTCTCTCCCAAGAAACAGTTTCCTCCTTACTATCCGAAACCCATTCTATGTTGAACAATTTCTCGCTGGATGATCATCCCATGACGAAATTTAGTACTGGGGAAGGAGATGACGTTGAACATGTTGGGGATAGTTATTTTCTGGAGAGCGGTGATAAGATACGATTTTTCTTTGAGGAAGGTGTGTTTTCTCGTGCTTTGGATCATGAATTATATTATTCACTTCATATAATTCTTTTAATTCATACAACCTTGATGGATTAAATTGAATCTCCACTACCAATTACTAACACCCAAAAACTAGACGCACTATCTCCAAAAGGCGAACTCCTCAAACCCAAACACCTCTCCATAAACAAAATCGGGCACGCCCTCCATTCACTCTCGCCCCCTTTTGCCGCGCTTCTCTCTCCAAATGCCACTCACTCTCCCTCTCTCATCGCGCAATCCCTCGGTTTCAAAGAACCCAAATGTTTGCAATCAATGATAATCTGCAAGAACCCCGAAATAGGCGGCGCAGTCCCCCCTCATCAAGATTCCACATTTTTATATACCGATCCACCCAGCGCAGTGGGATTTTGGTACGCGCTCGAGGATGCGACGAGGGAAAATGGATGTTTGAGTTTTTGGCCTGGGAGTCATAAGTGGGAGGGGGTGGGGAAGAGATTTGTTAGGAGGAAAGACGGTGGGGGGACGGAGTTTGTGGAGAATGAGGGGGAGATTTTCCCGAGAGGTTTAGAGAAGAGGGAGAAAGAGGGGGAGGAAAAGGAAGGCAGTTATGTAATGGGTGAAGTTAAAGCGGGGGATTTGGTACTCATTCATGGGAATTTGTTGCATAAGAGTGAGAGGAATACGAGCGAAAAGGGGAGAATTATTTACACGTTTCATGTTATTGAGGGGGAGAATGTGTATGACGAGAGGAATTGGTTGCAACCTCCCGAGGGAGGTTTTACTAGGCTGTAGAGTAAGAGTTGGAAATCAAAATGCAATAGCCTGAAATATCGCTCAATGGTGATTGAGATCTGTGTGTGAGCTTGGTCGTGTTATAGGCGTCTACTACTGGACTGGATATTAAATATTGATGAAGGTACACACACGTGCATGCATCTCAGAATACCGAATGAGGAGCCAAATTAATATGAGTAAGTTAAAACAATGAAAGATGGGCGGGCACGACGATATTATAAAGGTTCAGGACCTCAAGACACAGGAGGAGAAGAAATTGAATTTAAGATATTGTATTACTATCGCATACTTAGTAACAATTGAGTAGAGCATTGCGAAGCTACCAGAATGAAATAGTCAGGTGCATAGAAAGAAAGTATGTAAGGATATGGAAAGTGTTTCGGAACAAGTTCTCATGAGACGAATGTGCTTCAGATTATTCTTTCTGTGTTTAGAGATATGCTGCGTTTTTTGACCTGGCGTATGAACTGGAAAAAATAGAACGAAGTAAAGACTTTTGACAAAAATGCGCTATGCTTGAAATGTTTTCCCAGAGAGGCCTGTAATGAGAGTACCCAGCAACGTCGATTATGGAAGAAATTTGAAGATTCGTCAGGTAGAAGCGATGATTCTTAAGTCCGCATTTGTAAAGCTGATGAGCAATCGTGGACGACGGGTTCATCCTTCACACTCTCCATGCAATGCAACATGCGGATGCAGTAACCTGGTGCCGTAAATCTTATAGAGTAAACTGATATTCGATGCCAAATTCAAATCACTCAATCAAGCAGATTGATTATCCTGATTAAAACTCGGTGAAGGAGAGCTCTTTGATGATACTTCTCTTCCCTTCCCTTTTACTCAGGCGAGGACCGGAAAGATTCGAGATCTAAGCCTTCAATTTTGGATTCGAACTGCTCCATTTCAACCTGCATCCTGAAAAACATCTCCGAATTCTCACATGTACTTAAGGAACCCTCATAAGTACAACGAGTATCGATTCTTGCATGCGATATCTTCTTGAAAATTGATTTCAAGTCGAGGCCCTGATAAGGTGCTTTGGGGAATGGATATAAGCGACTTTCTAAAGCGACTTGCATCAGAAAGCCGATGGTGACTTGATCGCATAAGTCATATTCATCGCAAGTCTCATTTGCAATCTGCGATCTAACCAGATCGCCGAGGATAGAAAATAGGCCTCCAAATGCTTTCAGCCGGGCTTCTTTAATTTTTTCTGAGTTCCAATCAGTAAGGATCAGTAAGGAGCACATCATCAGCATTTTATTCACTTCACATACCGACAATAGTGTAAGGCCAACAACCATGTTCGTTCATCCAATCTGCAAAATTTTCATCGTTGCAGACAATTGCGCGTCTTGTATGCTTTTTGAATTCAAGAGGCTTGTACTGGAAATATGCAAGATAGACCAGACCACCAGTAGTAATACTCGTATATTGTGCATCCCTCTCCTCGCCTAGCAGACTTGTCCAGCACTTTGTAACTAACGACATCGCTTCATGCATCTGGTACTTTTCCGTAAGAAGTGTTATTTTGGCCAATAGCATCGGAGCGACATGTTCGGGTACAAGTTTGTTCCGGTGATGGATGACATTAGCGATAATTGCAAAAGCAATTGGATCGTCATCAGGTAGCGAAATCTTGACTTCTCCATTGGCCTGTAATTCAATTCCTTCCTTGAAACGATCATGCTTCAACATGGCTCCGAAAACTGGCGATGCAAGTTTCAAATGCTTCGAGGAAACAAGCATAGTAACTGTGTATGACTTATCGCAATGTCTGTGTTTTGTTCAGCTTTGATCAAGGCAAAGTGTTGGGAAAAACATACGCCTTTCGTTTATGTGAGTTGACCGAGTCGTTATCGGCTTCAACTCCGTCTCTGTCGACTGGAAGATGAGTAAAGATCAAAAGCACTTCACCAGCAGCGTCGAAAATGAGCTTCTCTGGAGTTTCTGGGGTGTCTGATGCCATTTTGATGTGCTTGATACGTGATCCTGGTTGATGGTGATCTGAATAGGGTATGCCCTCAGTTTCTTTATGGAGTCAAGAAAGAGTTGTGAAAAACGAAGCAATCGGGTTGATTTGTTGTAGATTTAACATGAGTATTTTGAGGTTGTAAAAGAGACGTCAAAGGAGGGTCGATTTGGAAGTCAAGAGAGGTACGATAACTTTTACAGCCTACCCCTCCTGACTATTTAGGGTTAGTCTAGTCCGTTAGATTCACTTGAAGTATTTTGAAAGGCATATTATTGAAACGCGCAAGCGGGGAAGATGGGTAAATTAAAGGTGAAGATTATGTTTCAGGCAAAATCTTCTCGTCTTCAGAAGCTCTCTCCAGAAACATTATAAGACTCATGATATCAAGAAGGCGTAAGCGACAACTGTGTCATGTCTAAATTGTTCGCCTTCACTCTTGCTGATAACTTAAGCTCTGGCTGCACTCTCTTCCCCTTCTTAAAATCCTCCATATCTAATCCAGATAATCTCTTCTCAAGATTCGCCAGTGCAGTATCGATAGCCTGTTTGACACCATGAGTAGACCAATGATGATACTCAAACCCTCTGAATGGAGATATTTTATCGCAAAGAGCAACCACTTCCACTTTGCGGATTTGGTTGACGACATAATTAAATGTGAGCTTGGTGTCAGTGAGATCTGGCACGGGAAATATGCCTAGTTTTGTGGAGCTCTGGAGGAGCGTTCCAAGGACCATGCCGCTACATTCGAAGGAATCTTTACGGGGTGCGGTGCAATGATGTTTACCGGTGGTGAGTATTGTTTCGACCGTGGAATAGGCGTCGGCTATTGCAGTCAATCTTCGTTCTTGAATTGTATCTTCAATAGTGTTAGTTATATCATACGGTCAGAACTTCAGGGGAAAGGGCAAAATCTATCTTACCAAGAACCCGATTTGGTATTGGAATATCATCTCTGTCTTCACCAATCTTACCATTACTTTGTCGTTCTGCAATTCGAGTAACTTCTTTGAAGATACTTGGCTTTTCAAACACCCAAGAGATACTAAGCCATGGAAGTAAATCATCGGTAAATTCCTCTGGTAACTCGGCTTCAAGCAATGATATCCATCTATCAGACATAATTTCAACTACCTCATGTAATTGATACTTATCAACCAGGGTAGAAATTCTCGATAAGAGATCTAAATCGATTTCACGAGGAACATTCCTTGTCCGGCCATGGATAATGCACATCAAGACTGCAAAAGCATCAGGGTCATCGTCAGGCAAGGAAATCTCAATCTTGCCAACAGAAGCTAGTTCTCGGCCTTCTTTGAAGTTGCTGTGTTGAAGCATGGCTTTGAATACAGGAGAAGCAAGACACATGTGTTTGGACGAGACTAACATATGTACATCTTCGCTGTTAGCGTTTGGTTCATCGGTTGAATCGTTCTCCTCCGAGTAGTCTCGTGATTCTGCTTTTGTCTTTGCTGAATCTCCCAGGTTCTCTCCTTCGTTTGTTTCTGCCAGCTCTACCACTCGTGTGAGAAGCAGGACCAGATCTCCGTCCGGATCATATGTCACAAACATCTTGTTTGATATCTTTCTGAGTAGATTCAAATTGCTACTCTTGTATCTTGAGTTGGGCAAGTTCTTTTTAAATTAAAGTAGATCAGGAGATTGGAATTGGCCTGAGATGATTGAAATGTATATTCCTTAATAAGCTCAGCCAGAAGTGATGAATATTCACTCGGGATGAGGAACTGAATAGTATCATCGTTTTATAGAGATCCAATTCTCTGTTGCCTAACATTTGACGTTATTGATGACATCCATTCATGAAACCCAGGCGAGTGTATAAGGCTGGAGCCTGCTGGATTTAACTGTGGCTGAGATCTACGGTAGCTAAAACGGCAAGGCCAACCCCACTAATGTCTGCCCCTCAGCCTTACTTCATCGTGGTCCTCAAGGTTCTTGAAACCATTAAATAAACCATAACCTCCCTTGTAGAATATCTTGATTTCACAAAGACTATTGTCAATTCCAGAAACTTACCAATCCTTTTGATATTGACGTCGAGCTAACGAAAGATGTCTATCACTATTGACAAGATCCTTGCTGCTTCCCCAGACACTCAACGTGGCCGTCCGACACAGCTAAGTTGTGATCCAAAGGGGGAGCGTATTGCTTATGCCGTACGTGTATATCTCGAACTACTCATATGCCAGTGCTGACTCTTTCTTCTAGTCTGGTAAATCAGTTTTCGTTCGTAATATTGATGATCCTTCATTAAGTAAACAATTCACAAATCACACAACTCAAACCACCGTTGCTCGATTCTCTCCCTCCGGTTACTATATTGCCAGTGGTGATGTCTCTGGAAGCGTCAAGGTCTGGGATTCGATAGAAGGAGTCAACGTCAAGGGAGATTATCATATTATAAATGGCAGAATTAATGATATTGCTTGGGATGGAGATTCTCAACGTATCATTGCAGTGGGAGATGGCCGAGAACGATTTGGAGCTTGCATAACTGCAGATAGTGGAAATACCGTGGGAGAAATTGTTGGTCATACTTCAGTCATCAATTCAGTTGCAATTCGTCAGCAAAGACCACTCAGAGCAGCTACTGGATCTGATGATATGAGCATGGTGTTTCTCCATGGAGCTCCTTTCAAATTCAATGCAAAGTTGGGAGAGCTTCATAAAGGTTACATTTACGGAGTAGGATTTTCGCCGGACGGAAACCACCTCGTAAGTGTCGGAGCGGATCGCAAAATTCAATTATATGATGGAAAGACTGGTGATACCAAGGCAAGCTTTGGAGAGGGAGAGCATACAGGAAGTATATTCAGTGTCTCGTGGGCAAAAGACTCGAAGAGATTGGTTACAGCCAGCGCTGATCAGACGGTCAAATTATGGGATGTCGAAGCTGGTAAGGCTGTTCAAACTTGGAGATTTGGTGGAGAAGGAAATGTAAGCATTCCAGATCACCAGGTTGGTGTTGTATGGCCTTCACGCAGCGATGGAATGATCATCAGTTTGAACTTGGCTGGAGATCTAAATTACTTGGCTGAAGGAACGGATAAACCAACGAAGATTGTCCAAGGACATGGCAAAGCTATTACGGCCATTGGCTCAGCATACACGGAGAAAGGTCAAACATTGTGGACAGGTAGTTTCGATGGTCGAGTCGTCTCCTGGGATGTCGGCACTGGTGTTGGCTCTGCTACCGAAGGTTCTTCGCATACCAATCAAGTATCTAGTTGGGCCAGCGCTGGAGATAAATCCTATAGTGTTGCCTGGGATGATACTTTACGAACTATTGACGTTCCTCAAAATACTTTCGTTGGCGAGGCAGCTAAGTTGAATGGTCAACCTAAAGGAGTAGCAGCTGTGGACGACAAATTGTATGTTGCTACTACAAACGGCATCGATATCTTCTCTGGAGGTAGCCTCGTAAATACCGTGGCAACCAAGGACTTCACACCAACATCTGTTACAGCAAACGGAAACATTGTAGCGGTAGGAGATGATCGTAATGTTGTACATGTATACAGCGTCGATGGAAACAATTTATCTCCCAAAACAGAACTTACAAAATCTCTAGCTGTAATCTCCGCATTAGAATTTTCACCTAGTGGAGATCTTCTTGCGGCAGGAAATTCGTCAGGCAAAATTCATGTTTATGATACATCCAATTGGGAGATCAAGACGGATAGATGGGGTGGCCACACGGCAAGAATAACCAGCATTGGTAGGTTTTTTCTTTCTTTCTTTCTCTTTGACAGGATGTTTTACATCTTATACCCAAAGCTCTGTCCCATTTTCTCATGTCGCACAACTAATATTTCTTCGCAGATTGGAACCAAGCTGGAACCCATGCCGTGAGTGGCAGTCTCGATACTAATGTTTTCGTTTGGAGTCTTGCCTCACCAGGAAAGAGAGTCAAAGCCCCCAATGCGCATAAAGATGGTGTTACCGGTGTTCGTTGGGTTGATGGTGGAAAGAAAGTCGCTTCTGTGGGTGGAGATGCTTCTTTGAAGGTTTGGGATGTCGCGGGATTAGCATAAAGCGAAGCATATTTTTATAGAGCGCGTGGTAGCGACGCATTTATGCATGTTCTCTCGCGATGTTGCAGATTTTAGAGTAGTAAGGTATCAAATGAAAGCAGTTTTTTGGAGCGCTAAATGTCAATAGAGATTTTATTTATTCATTAAGAAATTGAAAAAAGTTGGTGAACTATTCAATTGTCCAAAAGGCAACACTCAAACGAAAGATGTGGAATGAATTTCGAAAGATCTCGATCAGAACAATTTCATCAGTGACGTGGATCCTAGCCACAGGAATTACGCCTGACATGTCAAGTTCAAACAAGACGTGCAAATAAGAATTAGATAGGACCGGAGCAAACGCACCTTTACCACAAGCTTTAGCAAACACAACAAGCTTTTGCCAACACAAACAAGCTCCCGTCGCCTCCAAGAAGTTAAGAATATTAGACCAGGGGTTAAAACAAGAGACTGATCACCTTGTTGTCGTACGCAAATTGGAGGAACAGGGCAAACAGTCGACCGGGCGAAATCTAGAAATGTGATGAGAATCAGAAACACGCAAATTAGAATCTCCTCAGACGATCTTGGCGTATGTAATATGGCATTTCATTTTTATGCGAAAGTGGCTCGAGCAGGTCGAAATGTTCCAAGGTAGCTGGAGCTGGAGGAAGGTTACTGTGGATTTCCTTGATTTTTGATTACGTGGAGCCCGGCGCCTAGAAGACTGTTTTTGCGGAAGGTGTGGCTAATGAAAGCTGACGTCATCATCCGTGCAGCTCAATGAACCAATCAAACGATTTAGATCTTCACGCTTCTCCATGTTATTTCCACTAGCGGGAGCTACCTAGGGAAGTATTCTGGCGTACCTAGCCACAGGAGTAACGTAAATTTGGGTAAACACTGGTAAACATTGGTCACTGGTTGGTATTGGTGGGATTCGTGGTGTGGTCATTCCTTTATTGGTGTGAGAAGAAAAATAAGGAAAATCAAGGTACGAAGTCTCAAACACGTTCCACAACATGTGCATACTAGGTAGGTATGGTATGGTAAGGTAAAAAGAAAAGGGTATTAAAGTTTGAACTTTCCTTCTCCTAAAAGTCTTGGATTCCTTAGTGATATCTTCATTTTCATCTCTATTCTTGTCATCCTCTCTCGACTTAATCAGAGTGTTCGTTGCTCTTCAAGTTGTTGAGTTATTCATTACTCAGCTTCACCTCACCTACTTACGAACGTACCATCTATAAAATGGGCATGTTCTCACGCAAACAGCAGGCACCTGCTACTACTGGACCTGGAGCAAATGTAGCTACTCATGAGACAAAGCATCATGGTAAAGGACCATTGGTTCTTCCCATGAATAAGCGTCCCAGTTTCGGTCAATGGCTTAAAGTCACTTGGCTCGATATCCTCACGATGGCTGCTATGGGTGCTGTTGGACTGGGTGTTTATGAAGCTCATCCAGCTCCTTCTCGATCTTTCCCAGTCTATTTCCAAGATGGAGAGATTGTTTATCCTCAATTCGCATACGTGAGTATACCCTCCATCTATCCTGAAAATCATCTAATAAATACATTCAAATAATTTCCCAAACAATATCTAACTTACATTCATCTAGCCTCTCCGTAACGAAATCGTTCCAATTTGGGAAGCTGCACTCCTCGCATCTCTCGTCCCTATTGCCGCCTTCTTGATCGTTCAAATTCGCGTCCGATCTTTCTGGGATATGAACAATGCCGTAATTGGTCTCCTCTACTCCCTCATTACAGCTGCCGTCTTCCAAGTTTTCCTCAAATGGCTCATTGGTGGTCTCCGTCCTCATTTCCTCACCGTATGCAAACCCAATATTCCAGTCACCACGGCACAAGAAACAGGAAATGGTCTCAACTTCATCATGTACGACCGAAAAATCTGTACAGGTGACGAAGATGAAATCGATGACTCTCTCGAATCCTTCCCATCTGGTCACTCCACTGCTGCTTTTGCCGGTTTCATCTTCTTGTACTTGTACTTGAACGCAAAGCTGAAGGTTTGGTCAAACTATCACCCTGCCATGTGGAAACTCATCGTTACATATGCACCTGTTCTCGGCGCCACGCTCATCGCAGGTGCACTCACCATTGACGAATACCACAATTGGTATGATTGTGTCGCAGGAGCTATTATCGGAACAGTTATGGCGTTCTCATCTTACAGAATGGTGTATGCGTCGATCTGGGACTGGAGAACGAACCACATCCCATTGAACCGCTCAACTCCTTTCCCTGGTACTGGAGCGGATCTTGAGGATGCGACCTTCACGAGAAAAGCTGGATGGGGCACCGAAGGTTACAGTGATAGTGGATTTGGTGCTTATGGTCGCGGATATGGACATGGTATGAGTGAGGGTGGAGATATCAGAAATAAGGAGTACAATAATGGAACTGGTACATCGGGCATTGGACGCAAACCCGTCGGTGCAGGTACAGGTCACTTTAACGGAGATGCTGCGCATATCGTCTAAGGTACTTCAGATGTCATAAAAGGATAAGAAAACTTGATGATGATGATGATGAGAGTTTGGAGTTGCATAGTATGGTATGAAATGGCGTTTTAGTGAAGCAAGGAAGCAAGGATGGATGGATTTTACGAACATGATACCAGCATAATTTGCATCAGCCTTTGGTTTGCTTTTACATCTTACGTTCGACGTTTAATTAATTAGCTTTTAATAAATATTTATGATTTGAAATATCATGTCATGCTATTTGAAATTTGTGTTTTGTTGCCTTCATTATCGCGCTCGTAATTGAGGACCAAGTGGACCGAAAGGACAAATTGAAGTGAACTTGAGAAGCAGTTTTGAAGTCAAAACCATGTCTCCCTAAGATCTAAATTTACAATGCAATATGAAGAAAGGGAGGATGAAGCGCTCGAAGAATCGGGGATTCATACTAGCTGATATTGGTACTCTTAACCGATGTTATATGTTGATCAATAGCATTTCATAAATCCTCTTGATTTTTTGCCGCTGGTAATGATTTCCCCTGTTTTGTTTTGTTTTGTTATATTTTGTTTTGTTTCGTTTCATTTCGTTGAGAAAGACAGAAATTGAGAAAAACAGAAATACAGAAATACAGAAGTTATGAAGATCTTCAGCATAACATAAAATCTCCACGTCTGGAGACCAGGTGGTGAATATTAGCTGAGATGGGATCAAGATGGAGATGGAGATGAGAGCTAGTTAGCTGGTTATTACGATATTATAGGGAACTTTGGATTTGCTATGCTATATTAGCTAGATGGGTGGTTGAGTGAGTGAGAGAAGATAGATAGATAGATATATATAGGTAGGTAGGTATGTAAGGACTGGGAGCGAGGAGTTTGGGATGTGTGTGTGTGTGTGTGTGTGTGTGTGTGTGTGTGTGTGGGTTGATGATATTAATAAATTGGGGAGATGAGATGGAATGGAATGGAAAGGTGTGGGTATAATAGATTGGGTATGAATGTGTATGTATATATATATATATATGTATATATGTATATATGTATATATGTATATATGTATATATGTATATATGTATATATATATATATGTATATGTGTATATGTAATTGTACCTATATATGTAAATATTTCCCCCTTCCCCCCCTACCTCCCCCCCTAAAAAAATAAGGATATATTTTTTATATAAAAATAGATTCTTTCTTGTCTTTAGCAGTATTCTGAAGATTCACTAGTAGGTACCTACCTAGGTAATAAGGGAAAATTTCGAGCTAGATACAATTTAGGTATTTTTTTAACAGTCCTGGAGAGTTTTATTAAAAGAGTAGGTATTGTTCTCGGTGTACACTTTGAATATTTGATACATACTTGAATATATTTACTGCAATGTATATATGTGTCTCTCAAGCTGTATTCAGTATAGGTATTCAGTATTGAGTGTTCGGGATAGAATTCCTGAAAAATAACTACCCAGATGTCGCTTTGAAGAGTGCGGCTAAGAGGGTAATTTTACTACGAGGGCGTCCGCTGAGAGATTGGGTGCATTGTGGTAATGAGGTTGTTGAATACTGGATTGCTGAAGATGAGATTTTTGAAAGATGTGTGGTTGTATAATGACTAATCTGGACTTTATCTTGTAGAGCGGAATATCGATTTCTTCGAAGTAGAAGAATGAGTATTTCTCCTTGTTTTAATTTGTAACTCTTGGATTTCAGTTTTGTGTTGCGTGTTTGGTTTTCTGCTAGCTGAGTGCTGCAGATGCAATGGATACCTACTGGGGAGGTGCGAGTGTCCAATTTGGGTTTGATGGTTGTGATGATATTGGATCGGTTAGGTGAGAGGTATATATATTTGATTCTGTCTTCTCGGCTTTGACCCCGGGTGGGAAGACACTGGAGATATAGTGAGATTAGTAGGGAGATGAAACGGTTGGTGTTAAACTGGTGGAGTTGGAGAATGTATTATTCATTGATTTTTGTGAAGTTGACAGGAATCAGAGATATGGCTGCTAGATATACCCAGAGTTTATAAAGGAACATAGTTTTGAAAGACATCATGTAGAAAGAGAGAACAGAGGGGTCGAGTGCTCATGAGCTGTTTCTAATATCTTCCAGAAATGTCTTTTTCCTTCAAAATATCTGCTTTGGGGTGAAACATTCGATACCTGAAATCTTTTACTTTCTCAAACTTCAAAGAAGGGAAATTGTTCTAACGTATGAGGAATCATCAGTTCCCGTGATTCTTGTGAGTAGTGTTTAAGCACCACTTAGGTTAAGTGATAAACGAGGAGAAAATGAAAGGAAAATATGAGCATGAACTGAAACATACCTATGTAGAATAGAGCAGAGTACAGAAATTTAGTGCATAGTGTGAGGTAAATGAAGTTTTCATGTTATTCAGAAGTTTTTTCAAGCATACTCATACTAGGCAGTGAGGAGCAAGTTACCCCTTATTCTAGCATTTGATCAGCATAATTTCACATTCGCCAAAACCAAGCATCAAGCTGTCGTTCAAGCTTGATCTCGCAAATGAAGATTGAAACCTTAATATAACTACCTAGGTAATGATGAATCTGACAACAAGATAAGCGAATCCATTAATGTAGATCTCGGGACCGAGAACTATAGAGTTTGAAGACGGATAATCGGATGAACAACAATCCGAAGTTGTTATAGGATTGCAAAATTGCTTAATGAACATAATTATCAATGAAGGAGATCGGAAGTTGAATTATGAAGGTAGGAAGAAAGTTTCTCTGTGGACATCATCTTTGGTTCCGCTTTTCCTAATTACTATCTGCTTGTTTTCATCGCATCGGGCAGCTTCTGCAGGATCTGTATTGCTATAATCACTCTTCTAACCTTCGCACAGCCTTCTTGCCAAGAATCACATGCGTGCCAAGTCGGTACTTTTCAGCCCTGCTCTCGCCTGTGGATAGGAGTTGGAGCGTGCCATGCGCATAGTGTATCTGTCTCGACCGGAGATCGCTCAATCTTCTCAAATATCATGTCTTTCCTCTGCATCGATGTGACTAAATAGCAGTGCATTGAATCTAGTCCAAAGTCTGCAGTCATGGCAAAGTGCAAGAGTCATCCTCTGGATGTTCCCAGTGAGTTGTATCATCGCAGTACCTACGTCGAGAACTAACTGCCAATAGTCGTTGAAAAAAACATCTCGGGGAACTTACAGGCCCATGATATTCTGTTGATCATCTCTATTGTATGCAGCATAATCGCATGTAGTCTATCGTTTTACCTGATCTGGCGCCATCTCAGCAATTACGTCCACCCTAAAACGCAAAAGTTGTAAGTCGACCAGCTTTTGACCAGATTCTGAAAACTTCTGACAAAACTGCTAGAATTATACGAATTCTTTTCATGGTCCCTGTATATACAATCTGTTGCATATTCAGTATTCAATACTACAGGGAGAATGTTTACATTGGTGCCATATACGAATTTTATGAATCAATTGTCATCGCTTCGTTCTTTCTACTGCTCTGCAGATATCTGCATATAGAAATGCATTCGCTTCGCAGAGTCTTTGCTCTTGTCCAGCCCAAACCCTGGTTATATCCAGTCCGATTGCTAAGAATGAAAATCTGGCGTAAGAAAACCACTTATACAGAAGATGGACTAAAGTGGTTTGGTGTGAGTCTTCCCTCAGCAGCTTTCAGTCCAGAAGAACTTGAAAGCATTGCTAATGAAGGCTTTTGACAGATAATATGGGCTGCCGTATTTCAGTTCTGTGTGGTGAAATTCCTTGGAGCTCTTGTAAAATGTATTACAGAAGCTGCAGGTGTCTACTGCGAAGAATCCAGCAGTATTAAACATGGCAGGATTTGGGTACGTGAACAAATGTCTTGGAAGTGTAGAAAAGGGCCTCACAGACTAAGTACCACAAGTAGATCCAGATCATTGAGATTGTTTCCCTGGTCACCGCCATGTTCTGTCTGCTTCAATTCTATAGCCAGACTAAGGTAGTCCTCGCGGAACGGAACCCCCTTCTCAAGTTCGTGGCCATCAAGTTGGTTGTTTTCCTATTTTATGTCCAGTCGGTAAGCTTGTGTGATTTCTTACATATGGTTCCCAACGTTAACACCACTAGTTCATCTTCGGACGGCTTACCGCCGAACACGGCAAATTACAGCCTACAGACAAACTATCGTATCCTTCAGTATCTGTCGGCATTCCGAATACAATTCTGTGTGTCGAGATGGCAGGTGTAGCGGCCCTCCATCTTTGGGCATATCCCTGGCAAGAATACGGCGGCAATATGACTCGGACGTCGGAGAGTCCCAGTTCCGACAACATGATGCACTTCTCTTGCCAGCAAACCTCTTTTCCACTACCTTGGTGGCAAGCACTTGTCCATGTACTCAGTTTTGGCGATGTTTTAAAAGGAATTTTGGAAGGCTTCCATGGACTTCGGACCAGTCGACGTAATGCAATCATGGCCCACTACGTGGATGCAGGGATCGAGGGCAGGGCAAGCCCGTACAATACAAAGGATCTCTCTGAGGCATTGGACCTGGTGCATCGAGGCCCGGATGAACATTGAAGCTTATATTGGTTGCAGAGTGTGGAATCTGAGGATTAGGATCAAAACTGTAATAGAACAAGACATTGTAACGAGGGTTGAAATTAGATCATATTGTTAGGTCGAGAGAACATTAAAAGCCTTCCAATGACGAAAGTCTGCTGCTGGTTACCCACCTTACTGCGAAGCTGCTTCTATATCGCTTAGATTGGGTTGAGCGAATGGGAAGCCTTGCTATCCCCTCACCGTTCGCCACAAGATGAGCAACGGAGATACGCAGAATAACACTGATTGTTGGAGCAAAATCTCAGAGTTACGGGGAATACAATGCTTGTGCACGATAGTTGAAGATTTCGTAGTTACTGTCATTTGTTCGTTTGACCTACGTTCTTCGCAGCAGAATGAAGTAAACCTTTGGTAGGGATCGAAACCAGTCCTACCCCCAAGCATTGTGGTGAGTGATACCTCAGCTAAACTCAAGATCTAAGCTTGATTACATTGCGCTTCAGAAAAATGTCACACTCTTTAGGATGTTACGGGAGTGGGGTTGATGGAAAGGGTCAAGATCATGTGTTTAAACTTCTTCGAGCTTGGCAAGCTGTCAGAAGTGAGTAGTACGAACCAGTAGTAATTTTGGGTTTGACGTATTTCCGGTTCTCGATTGGCACAGAAACGAGTCGTAAAGACTCCCGACAACGAATATTAAGACCAGACCATAACCCACACCTGCTCCCGTTCTCGAACCTCAACTTCTAAAAGAATAGTTGCAAAACTTTGTGCATCTCTATCTGTCTCAGTGAGAAGCGGCCTTGCGAGCTTTAGATTTCCAAGCCAAAGAGAATTGCAGTATACAAGTAAGGGGGCGTCTAACAAGGACCTTGGATCAGGAGCTTGACTAACTCTAATTGAATGACCCTCGGGGTACGTCTAACCACTCTACAAACATTCGGGGGTATATCAAGAACGATCCTTAAAATTCGTGCCAACAGTGAGGTGCAAGAAGTGCCTTTCATCCTACAGCATGAACCAGGGACTACCAAGGCATTCACACTTCAAGAACCGTCTTGCTACATAGTGCGAAATAAAATTAACCCTTTCCTGTCCCAGCCTCTCTATTCTTTCAGACGTGTTCCGAACTCTATGACACCGCCGCCCCACGTGCTTTTCCTGGTCAAGCGCACAGCTTGTGCGGCCATCTCCTGTATTTTCATCATTCCCATAGATGTGAAATATCTAGGTGTGCAAAGATCTCGGTTTTTGTCCCTCCGGTTTCCACCAGCTTGACGTTTGGCTTTATGGATGCTGGAAGATACGGTGGCATTGTGTTGCAACGGTACTCACGTTGAAAGTGGAAAATTATCGTTGATTGCCCAATCTCCCGGCAGCTTAAATCTCAATCTGGCAAGCCATCACACTTTAGACAGGAGAACCAGGCAAGAAAGAGGACAGCTGTTCATGAGGTGTAGTGATCTGCACCCAAGAGACCTACGAATAGCGTACTACCGAGGCTCACAGGAATTGAGTTCATTAAGGGTCTTAGCTAGCGTTGCTTGTTAGAAATAAAAAGCATTGCGGAGCCGGAAGCGGAACGAGAAGAATCCGAAGCACCGGATAGCACATGGATGAAAATCGTTATTTGTAAATCAAACAACTTGAGGACTCTGGGGAGTCGGGGATGTGAATCAAAGAATCTATATAAACACAAAATAATGAATGGTGTATGGGGGAGTTGTTCTTCGGTAGTTGATCAGGTTGAATTTCAATCGATGTATCTGCAAAAGGCGAACGGGTGCAAGGTTCTCCCGAGGTCCTTGGAGTCGGGTATCTGTGGCTGTGGCACTAATCCTGAAGCAGATTAAATTGTGGCTGTGGCGCTATGCAACGCCATACCTGTCACGCACGGATGTGAGATCACAACGCTTCCAATCTTCTCCTAATCTTTTTTAATACTCGAATAGCTAGAATAATAAAGACCTCAGTCAGTATCAGAGACTGATCATACACTTGCCCCGTTATTCAAGCTTCGTGATAACAAAGTAACGAGAAGAGCAGGCACTAAAGACAGGCGAGGTCATGGTTTCACTGCTTCATGGCATTCTAAGGGCACTTACGACGAATGTGGAGAAAGCAGATGGTGGAAATATCCTATGGTACTTGATGACCCACGAGCATAGAGAACGGAGTGAAATCCTTTTCGATGATAAGATAGTCAAAGATTACGCGTGGGGCTTTGTTCCGTTGCGTCGAGTTCATGCTGGCTGTCTGTCTGTTCAACACATATATCTCGCTAGAGCCTACTTGAAGCAGATACCTAGCTATAGGTAGAGATGGAAACTTGATATAACGGTCATTCAAAAAGATATGAAAAGATCTACATGATCGATGAGCCTGTAGGATTTCATAGTTAGTTCGATTTATAATAGTAAAGTGTAGTTTTGAATGACAATCTTGTATTTAATCAAAATCGAGATTCCAGTTGTCGAGAAGATTATCGATATTTAGATATCATACTAATATGGTATGAAAAAAACTGCAACTTCAAAAGACGGTCTCTTCACGACCTTAACTTGGACTGGTTTTCCTTGTTGGAATTTCTCCATGTATATCAAAGTCTTGAAATTCAAAGGAAAGAAACTGTTCTATGATGACATCAAGTACATGAGCAGAATATCGAAAACACCTGAAACTTGAAGTGAGATACGCCACCAACCCATCAATCTCAGTCACTTTCACCGGAATCGTCATCTTCTTCTTCCTCATCGTCATCATCTTCTTTTAAATCAACCACATTTCTATCATCTTTGCTTCCCGTAAGACCGTTACTTGATATTTCGTCCTCACTTTCCTCATCAGAACTCTCAATTTCGGCAACATTTGCGTTGTCCTCATACTCAAGAGGCTTTTCTCTAATCTCGGGCTTGGCTTCGGGCTCAGGGTCATATTCAGTACCACGCTCCTCGAACGAACAATCAGGCTGTAAAGTGTCTCTTGATCGGTAGCATTTGAAACACAGATTAAAGTTCCAGCAGCTTTGGCATTTAAACCATGTACCCACAATTCCCTGTGATTTTTTTATCAGTAGATGCAAGATTATTGTCTCAAGTGAGTTAAAATGAGTAAAATTCTGAAACTTACCAGCAGACATCCGTCACACCATCTAGAAGGTTGCACGGAAGCTTTCCTTGAAGTATGATGTTTTCTGACCCATTTCTCACCATCTGGGGATAGGGCATCCGGTGTCAGAAGTTTTACAACTTCCTCACTAGCTCCGTAATATCGAGCGACCTTTAAAGGGGACCATTCGCGATCAAGTCCCTCCCCCTTCACCCAAAGATTCCCGCCATTCGACAATAAGAGCTTGATAATTTCAGGTTGGCCGTCTGGTGTTGTATCCCATCTTCCACAAATTCTAGCAGCCCACATGAGGGGTGTCCAGTTGTCACAGTCAGGGTAATTGACAACTTCTGGGCCTAGGCAGGCTATCGAGCGCTCAAGTACCATTGTGACCAAATCAATTTTGCCACTAAGTACAGCATAGTGCAATGGTATTCTTTTTAGTTGGTCTTCTGCCTCGATAAACTTGTCATCGGCGAGTAGATTGAAATGATCGATTGTGCGGAGAGCTGCGAGGTGAATCGGTTTTCGGCCCATCCAATCTGCAACATCCGAATCCGCTCCTTTGTCCAATAGAAATTTGACAAGTGAAGAATCGTTGTGAAGACAGGCGGAATTGATTGCATATCCTATTCTTCCGCCGGATGCGTTAATGTTCGCCTTAGCATCATCGATGAGATATGATACTAAGGGAAATTCATTACTAATTGGAGATTTTGGGCTGCGACACGCAGTCTGTAAAGCTGTACCATACGAATTCGGACTTGCTAAATCTACATCAATCCCAGACCCTTTCTTTACCACAAGCTTTATGAGGGGTAAATCGCCAGTCCAACAAGCAATAATAAGCGGTGTGCCAAAAGTTCCACCCGTAAGATTGACTTGTGCATTTTTATAGAGGAGATATTCAACAATTTCGGTATTGTGACGTAAAATTGCGATGCCTAAAGGGGTCATGTATTTTTTGTTGCAGATCTCTATACTGGCTCCCGCATTCACCAAGAGTTTGACCCAGGTCAAGGGAGTCGTTCTTCTTAAACAATGCAGCGCAGTATTCCCATCATCGTCAACGAGATCCAAATCAGGACGATATTCAAGTAAAGCTCGCAAAGGCCCGTCAGAGGAAGCCTCGTTCGTAAATGCATATTGCAAAGGGCATTTATTCAAGGAACCTCGCTGATTGGGATTTGCGCCAGCCTCAAGTAAGAGCCTTACAATTTCGGTGTGTCCTCCGCTTACTGCAGCCGTCAAAGCTGTAGCGCCCTCGTAGTACATGGCCGCAGCGTGGTGATGCCTGATATTCAAGTCCGGCTTATATTGCAGACAAACTCTTACGACATCAATGTGATTGTTTCCGCTGGCGAGAAAAAGTATGTTTCCACTAGTGGAAGTTCGAGTAATATCAGCACCATTTCTTAGGAGAATACGCACAACTTCAACAAAGTCGTATGCAACGAGCAAAGGGCCCCACCCTTCATTCAACTTTTCATCCATTTCAAGGTTAGCTCCTAAATCCAATAGTAGTTGAACAGTTTCCGGTTTGTTGAAGCGGGCTGCGAGATAAATTGGGGTGACGCCCTCATCTCCTGAGACATTGACGTCCGCATTTCTTTCAGCAAGGATTTTTACGACATCGGTCAAACCAAACTCTGCAGCTGTTGAAATCACAGATTTCTTCGATGAGGAGGATTCGTCTACCACGTTGACGTCGGCTCCGTTATCCAAGAGCAATTTAACCAACTCAACATTCCCACCACACTGAACAGCTCTAGTCAAAATTGGTGCATGATCCGACCCAGCTTTCCAGTTCGGATTTGCTCCATATTTGAGCAAGAGCTCACACATTTCTTTATTTAAATCCTCAACGCCAAACCACAATGGAGGGCGAGAGCCTTCCGAAGCTGTTG